GCGGATGTACAGGTGGGGGTAGGAGATCCTGGACAAGTTCATGAGGTGCGGTGGGCCCAACGCTGGGGAAAATTTGGGAAAGCGGCCGTGGGGAAAGGTGCAAAAATCTGCTGCCGAGTTGTTGTAAAAACGTTGGCAAAATCATACATTGAGGCTTCGGTTGCCTTCTTTCCGTTGCTGCTCGTTTTCGGGTTTTTTTAAAGAAAAAGCTCGAGGTGAGCAAGAAGAGAATTAAATTCGTAACTGTGCATAAAGTGCTTTTCGTTAGGAAAGATCAGTAAATAAATAACGAAGGTTTAGGTCTACTTAGGCTGTGGCTTTGCTGGAAGAACAAGCCTTTCACCTTCCATGAAGGGCTGCAAAACTCTCGGGATCCTCCGCAGCCTCTGTGGGCAATAAAGATAATTAACAGCGACCGACCGCCTATTTCTTGTCCCCTTTTCATAGGATCTATCGCTACCAGACGCACGACTACGCCTTCAGCAGTAACGAGCGCCTGCTTCACGCCCTCGGTGGGAACGACTTCACCCTCTTGCTGAACCAAACCATCGACGAAGCCATGCAGAAAGCCGGCTTCTCTCACAAATTCCTCAACGAGGTGGTTTGTCCTGCCATGAGAGTCAATTACGGGCAAGGCATCAACGTCCACGCCTTCGTAGGTGAGCATCCCGTTGGGTAACCTCCCAAAAAAGTCCATCCCAGGGACCTCGTGCTCTTTCTGTTTCAGCCACTCCCCAAACGAGCTGCTCTAATGATTGTTGTTTTCGTTGTAGGTGCTGTTTCCCTGGCAGGGGTGGATTCGGGCCTGTGGGCAGTAAAAGGAGGGAACAACCTTGTCTGCACTGGCCTTATCTACGCTTCCAAAGCTGATGTTATCCCTGGTACGGTTTTGTCCATAGAGCCAAAAATCAGACCAGGACCCACAGGTGAGTTGGGTTTGCTTTTTCTCTGTGGTGGGTTCCAGCCGCTGGAGCTACTTCAGCTCACGATGAGGTGCAATTAGTGTTTTAAAAAAGTGATTTTAGGACCCTGGTGTCTGTCTGAGGGACAAACAGGATTCCCTCCAATCCCAGGAGCGGAATAACCGAGTTCTTCTCCCCAGGGGACCCGGTGAAGCTCTACTACGTCACTTACAACACTACGTCAGGGCTGACGGGGGAGATGTACGACATCGTCATCATCGCCACGCCGCTGGGCCGCAAGATGGCCAACATCACCTTCAAGAACTTTGACCCTCCCGTGCCAGAGTTCCCAAACCCTTACCACCAAACCGTCACGACCTTGGTGCACGGCCGCTTAAACGCCTCCTTCTTCGGTTACCAGGACCCGTCCGCCTTTCATCTCGGTGCCATCCTCACCGTGGAGAATCCCAAACTCTTCATCAACAGCCTGGGCGTGGTGTCACCCGTGGGGGACGCGAGCGCCGAAAGCGAGCCGCCCTTGCGCTCGGCCGTCTGGAAGGTTTTCTCCGAAGAGCCACTCACCAAAGAGCAGCTCAACCTCCTGTTCTCCTCTTACGACTCGGTCGAAGTGAAGAAGTGGTTGGCGTACCCCCACTACAGCACCCCGGAGAAATGCCCTCCCGTCGTCCTCCACGACAACGTCTACTACCTGAACGGCATCGAGCGGGCCGCCAGCGCCATGGAGATGAGCGCCATCGCCGCCAAGAACGCCGCCCTGCTCGCTTACCACCGCTGGTACGGCAACGCCGACCGCATCGACCAGGAGGATTTGCACGAGAAGCTGAAAACGGAGCTCTGAGCGCAGCTCTTGAGCCAGAGTTAGACTAACAAATTAGCTTAACCCCGGCGAGGAGCCAAGAACAGCGGCGAAGAGAGATTTCCTGAGCGAGCCGGCCCTTCCACGAGGAAACTCCCGAGGAAGCTCCTCGATCTCAGCCCTACCCGAGATTAAATAAATTTTAAAGGCCATATTGACCCCAAAAGTGCCCAACTCAGGACCTGCCTCACTGTGATGAACCCCTGCACATCCCTCTCCCTCTCCAAATGCTTTTTTTGGGCAGGGAAAAAGTGACTCGTTGACTGTAGCTCTCTCCGCCTCGGCTCTTTTCTGAAGGGTGGATCGAGTAGTTATTCCTTGGGGGTGGGACGCGGGGCTGCATTTTGTGCTTCCAGAGCAAGGACTGTAGGTTTAGTTTGGGGTTTTTTTTGGTGGGGGGAGGCTGGTCTGCTGGGAGCGCACGAGTAGCCGAAACGGGTAAATTAAGGCAAGCCCTCGCGTCGTCGAGTGTGAACACATTAATAATTTAGATGAGCTGACCCTACAAACAAGGTTTGAGTAGGTAAAAACCCTTTTCCGCAAAAATATTGCATCCCGTGACTGTAATCTAGTATTTCAACTGTGTCTGAATGTCACCAGTGCAAATAAAATTAACACCCTGGTTGAAAAGGTGCTGCTGCTGCCTTCTTCACAGAGGCATTTGAGCATTTTCCTGCCCATTAAGAACCAGTAACACGCTACACAAACACAACACAGCTCCGTAGCTTGTTCTGTGTGAGATACTTAAGAGGAAGGACACCGGTTTAGCATCCACTTTAATAAATGAAGCCTTTCCATTCTTTTAAAGGGGAATCCGCAACGGTCCCCGCTGCGCTGAAGAACTGAAGCGCTTCGGCTCCTCCAAAACACAACTGACACAAGTTACGTCAACCATTACAAAAATTTATTTAACAAAAAAATAAGTTTACGCTCAGGCAAGCTTCAGTAAACAAAAGAGGTGGGTCGGGACTCGTCACGGGTGGCGAGGAGGCAGGTTTCTCCGACGCTATACCCGTTCCAAGGCTTCCAGCATGATGATGCTGTTTCCTCTTATCACCTAAAAAAAGTTCAGAGTGGCTGGTAAGAGGTGGCTGATGGTTGTTCACCGCTCCTAAGCCTGGCAAATCCCTCCCCTGTAGTGACCTCCCTAAAAAGCTGAGGAAAACGGAGGTAAATTCCCCTCTTTTTTTACATAACCCAAGTATTTCTGCAGGCCGGCGGGCGGCCCGCAGCACTCACCACCATGCCGATATTGTTCTGCTGCCCACCCGGCGCCATCTCCACGCACTCGTCGATGACGAGGTTCATGAAGGGATCGAAGCCCCGCAGGATCCCCTGGACGTGTCGGCCGCCGTTTAACTTCACTGCAAGAAATTGAGGGCTGGGTGTGAGCGAGAAGCAGGGGACACAAAA